TATCAGATTTATGGATAGAAGAATTTATGATTAAACAAGAAATACAGGGTATTGTGAGATGTAAAAAGGATAATTTTGAGTACGTTAAATTAAAAGTTTTTTGCACAAATAAAATCAATGCAGCCAAGATTAGAAGGAAAGTAGAAAGCTGGGGGAAATTTTGTAGACAGTTTCTCAGATAAAGGTCTCATATCTCAAATCTGTAGAGAACTTTGTGAAATTTATAAGAAAATGAGTCGTTCTCCAATCGATAAATGGTCAAAGGATATGGACAGGCAGTTTTTCTATGAAGAAATCAAAACTATATATAGTCATATGAAAAATGCTCTAAATCATTATTGATTAGAGAAATGCAAATTAAAACAACTTTGAGACATCATCTCACACCTACCAGATTGGCTAAAATGATAGGAGAAATGACATGTTGGAGGGGATGTGGAAGAATTGGGACATTAATACACTGTTGGTGAAACTCTGAACTGATCTAATCATCTTGAAGTACTATCTGGGATTATGCCCAAAGAGTTATAAAACTGTATATCCTTTGACCCAGAAATACTACTATTACATCTGTTTTCCAAGGTGATCATGGAAAAAGGAAAAGAACCTATATGTTCTAACATGCGTATAGTAGCTCTCTTTGTGGTGGCAAAGAACTGGAAAATGAGAAGCTGCCCATCAATTGGGGAATGGCTAAACAAGTTGTGATATGTGATTGGGATGGCATCCTGCTGTGTTGTAAGAAATGATGAGCTGGTTGATTTTAGAAAAACATGGAAAAACTTGCATGAAATAATAAAAAGTGAAGTGAGCAGAACCAAGAGAATGTTGTATACAGTAATAGCAATATAGTTTGAAGAATACTTGCGAACAAACAAGTTATAGTTAAGTACTATAAATATTCAAATCAACTATAAAGGACCTATGAAGGAGGATGCTATTTACCTCCAGAGAAAGAATTGATAAATATAAGAATGCATAGTTTGGTTTTATATATATTTATAAATCTGTTTCAAATGGTGGTTTTCTCTCTAGTGCAGGGAGGGAGGGAGACATTTTGGAATTTAAAATAAAACAATGAATAAATAAATAAATAAATAAATAAATGAAACTCATAGCTCATGGTTACTAGAAGTCTCTCTGTCTCTCTCTCTCTCTCTCTCTGTCTCTCTCATCATCATGACTTTTCTTTAGGTCAAAATGTAGAAGATGATATCAGCAACTGCTGCTCCAGAAGTACAGATAACATTGCTGCTTATGCCACTAGGAACTACAGATATTTCAACCTTGAAGGTTCAGGTCATCACCTTCTGCATGGGTGTTGGGAGTAGAAATAAGGAGAGAAACTTTATATTGTCCCCACTCCAGTGGGCAAGTACCACTGGATTTGACCATTACTAGACTCTTTATTGCTTGAAACTATGATTCGGTATTGGCTTGATGTGTTATATATAGGACCAGAGATGGAACTGATTCTTTCAGTCAAGCACAAAATATTTTCTGTCTAACTGTCCTCTCTTTTTATCCAATGATCAAATATATTTATTCCTCCTAAATTGAACAAGGACTCGTTCATATCTTTGATTGATTGATTCAATTAAAACAAAGCCCAGGGCCTTCTGTGTTCACATCGGTACGGATGTGTGTGTGAGAAACTCTCATCCTTACATTTGTTTTTACCTTTTATTCAGCCCAATGTTCTAATCTACTAAGATCTTTTAAAATTTTGACTACATCATCCAGCATGTTAGCTGTTCCTCATAGTTTTGTGTCATCTGCAAAAATCTGATAAGTACATAATCTATGCCTTTTTCTAAATCATTGATAAAAATATTAAATAGTACAGGATCACTCAGGTACTTCATCTTTTTTTTTCAGAATTGTATTGAATAGCTGATGAGTACTTTGAATCTGCCCATTTAGCTGGTTCTAACCCACCTAACTATATTATTTCCTATTCTATATCCTTTTCATCTTATCCCTCAAAATAGCAGGGAAACTGCCAAATACTTTACTAAAATTTAGGTAATCTGTATCTATAGTACAGATCTTTGATCTACCTGTTTGTTGTTGACTCATTTCAGTCATGTCCTCCTCTCCCTGACTCCATTTGGGGTTTTCTTGGCAAAGATTCTGGAGTGGTTTACCATTTCCTTCTCCAGCTCATTTTACAGATGAGGGAAATGAAGCCAATAGGGTTAAGTGACTTGCGCAGGTTCATACAGCTAGTAAGTGTCTGAGGCCACAACTGAACTCAGGAAGTGGAGTCTTCCTGACTCCAGGCCTGTCACTCTATCCACTGTGCCCCCTAGCTGACCTGGGTTTTAGTGTAGTAAGCACTTAATAAATGTTTGTTGCCTTGACTTGATATTCAAAAAGCATTTCTTGAGCACTTATTATATGCAAGGCACTGGGAATAAAGACAGGATATGAAAGTCCCTGATTTCAAGGTGCTTACATTCTCTTAGAGGTGAGGGGAGGGAATATAATCTGTACATAGATAAATCCATATAAAAATAAAAATTATACAAACACACACATACATATATAATACACACACACACACACACACACACATATATAATGCAAAATAACTTTTTAAAGAGATTACTAATAATGGGGAGATTGGAAAAGGCCTTATATTGGAAGTGATACCTAAACTGATCTTTGTCTCTCAGCCTCTGTGGAACTCTTTTGCCATTGGTAAATTTTTCCTAGAACTTCCATCGTCCTCCACTCTCCAGGCTTTGCCACTAAGTTCCTGAGCTATTCTGTGTCCTTTCCCTTCTTTTTAGCTCCTTTTTATGTGTTATCTTCCCCAATTATAATGTAAGTTCCTAGAAGGGAAGGATTTATATTCTTAGCACTTACCACAGTGCTTGGCATATAACAAGTTCTTAAGAAATATGTATTTAGGCTTTCTGGAGAACAAGATAGAGAAATTTGGGCAAAATAAATGAATTTGGAACTGTTTGACTGATTGGACCCAATATTGTTTATAGTTATTTATCCATGATTTAAGACTAACCAATTCCTTTTTATTTCATGATTTTTAAAATTCATTTTCATTTCCTTTAATTTTTTTTCAGTGAATTTATTATCTATTCTAGCTTGAGAAAAATTCTAGTTTGTTTCTGGTGCCTCTGTTTGTGAGAGCTTAGTATATATTCCTTTCAATGTTTTCCATCTCTGCTTCTTTTAATTCATATTATTTATTCATATTTTCTTAATATTAGTTTGTTGGTAGCTTTGGGAGTTAAATTTTTTTTGAGGAGGTTTTTTTTTTTAAAATTCTTGGCTTTTCTATTGCTGTTTTGGAGTAACTTGACTTCTTTTAGATTTTTATTTCCCCACTTTCAAGGAAGTTGGGTTGAGTGCAACTTCTGGGTCCTTAGTACATTGAATTTCCAAAGTTTTTGGTTTCAGGACCTGTTTACATTCTAAAAAATTATTGAGGACTCCTCAAAGAACTTTTGCCTGTGTAGGTTATTTATTCATATTTGCCATATTAGAAGTTAAAATATTTTAGCATTATTATGAAAAGTTTTCCCCACATGGGCTCCCTAAAAGGGTCTCAGGACCCCTATTTCTGTACACACACTTTGAGAACTGCTGTTCTAAGGAAATGCTTCAGGGATCTCTCCAAGGTCCTAAGCTATTTAACGTTTTTTATTCATAATATGGCTGAGGCGTGGATAGCACTCTCACCAAATTTACAAATCACATGGAACAGGAAGCCATAGTTAAAACACTGGACGACGGAATCAGGGTTGAGAAGATCTCACCAAGCAAATCGTCTGAGCAGTTTTCACCTTAGTTTTTTAATCTGATAAAATCTCTATGATATTAGATCAAGAGAGATTCAAGAGAAGAAAAGCTCCAGGCAAAGAACATGTTTTCATGAACTACATTCCAGTAGAATATGAGTTCCTTGATGGCAGGGGCCGTTTTAGGGTATTTGTTTTTTCTTTGAATCCCTTTGTGTGGAGGTAAGCACTAATGCTGGGGCTGGCAGGAGCTTATGGAGTTCACAATTGCTTACAGAAGAAGCCAATAAGTTCTCCAATTAAGAATGAAGGCGATGTTCAAAAGAATGGAATCCAAATCCCAATGTTTTAGGTTCACAGACAATTGAAAGTAGACGGTTCCTTAGATCATTTAGTAGCACAGTGCCTGGCAAACAGCAGATGTTTAATAAATGATCGTTGAATTAAGTTGACAGGCACTTTCGAATCACTTAAAACCTAAAATTCAGTTGTTAGGATAATGATATGCCAACGTACTAAATTATTAAAGAGATCCTTTGCAAATGGACAGGTTTCTCCTTGCAAATCTTTAATTGTTGTCGGAATCCCTTATGCTATCCCACTTGAAAGGGGTAATATAGTGTAGAGGACAAAGAGTTGAAGTGGAAGTTAGATCTGGGTTCAAATCTTATCTCTGATACGGATTTGCTATGGGACCACTGAATTTAATCTCTTTAATCTATCTGAATTGCATTATTTTCTACATCTGTAAAATGCGTCTAATACTGTAATACCTCACAGGCTCTAGTGAGGATCAAGTGCTTTGTAAACCAGAGCTCTACAAGCCGGTCGGCCGTCATTACTGATGAGTGTACTTATCAGTAATGGAAGAGGCTGGATGACTTGTGGTTGAGGATATTGTACTGAGGACACTCAACATCTTTGTTGAGGTCGTAGCTGGACTAGCTGACCCTGGCTCACGAGAGACCAGGAGGATCCCAGAGGGATCACAAAGTGAACAGCTTTACCAGACAGTAAAGGTAAAAGGCGTGATGGGCAAGCGTCCAGGAAGTCTTCCCCACCCATTCTCCGCCCCCCCCGCCCCGCCCCGCCTTCAACCGAGCACTGGGTAATACGCAGGCGCAAATGCCCGTCCTCCGGTGCGTCCTCCCACGCCTTCCAGCGCCCACACCTTCTTTCGCGACTTCGTAGTTCTACGGGGCGCCGAAGGGTTACATCCGGTTCCGGTCTCTCACGTTTCTCTTTCCTCCGGACCTTCTACCAAGATGGCGTCCCGTAAAGAGGGTGCCGGCTCTGGCTCCACCAGTTCGACTTCTGCAACCGGCGCGGCCTCGGGCAAAGGAAAAGGCAAAGGTAGCTCGGGGGATTCGGCCGTGAAGCAAGTGCAGATCGACGGCCTGGTGAGTGAGGAGCCCTCCAGACCCACGTGGACGGGCGCTTTTCCGAGCACTCCCCACGCCCAGCGTCTGAGCCTGCATTGGGCTCTGATGTTGTCAGGCTTTTGCTCCTCGGAGCTCCGTGAGGGACGCGAGGGCGGTCTGCTTCTTCTCTGTCTTCCTCCATTTCTTTGGGTGCGCGTCTAGACTGCGTGTCTCCGACATCTTTTGAGGAAGACTTGGAGAGTGGGTGAAGAAGAGCTTGGCAGGCAGAGAAATGGCCAAAATTAGGGCTTGGCATTTTAAAAAGTAACTTGTATCGATACCTTTGTTTTTATATAGCTTATTATTTCCCCTGTATCTTTCCTTCCCAGAGTCATCCCAAGTGATAAAGAGTTTTTTAAGAGGAAAAATATAGACCAACCTATTAAAAAAACCTGACAAAATATGCCATTATTTTCATTCATAGGGACTCTTACCTCCTCCGACCCCTCTCCCCTCCCCATTTCTACAAAAGGTGGGAGGGAGGGATCTTTTCATCTTTTCTTCGGGGCCAAACTTGTTTTTTCTTAAGTTTGCCACATTAACTTGTTTTGTCGTGGTGATTCTTTCCATTAACATTGTTATGGTTATTATGTTCACTGTTTGTTTTTTCTCATTCTGTTTATTTTTTGCATCAGTTCACTTAAGTCTTCCCAAACGTCAACCAGAAGATCTATGTTGAGGGGAAAAATAGCTTGTAAAATTAAAATTTAGTACTCTGAATTGGTTTTTTTTTCTTTCAACAAAGGATACTTTTGATTCCTTTTAAAAAAATTAGTGTAATTCATACATAGATTTCACTTGCAAGGTGCCTTCCACATATTGTTGGTGATGACAGTAACCTTAAATCTGTTTAGTTACAAAGGTAAGGTAAAGTCAGGAGTTCTGAATAATTATGTACAGTGCACCAAACCAGATGGAGAAGAGAAGGAACCATTAGATTCCACAAATTGTTTCTTTAATGTTCCAGTATAATATCTCTGACAAGGATTCTAACTGTGGAGATGTTCCTCTGTCTTCTGGGATTGCTTTTGTTTTGGTTTGATACATAATTACAATAGTTTATATTTGTAAAACATTTTAATATTTTATAAAATACTAACATATGCAATCTTAATTGCAGCGTTTAACTATCCCTTGAATTAAGAGAGTAGGTGGTGCTTTTCCCATGTTACAGTGAATTACAGAACATTCAAAAAAGTTGTGATTTGCTGGTTGTCACAGAGCTAACAAGTAATAGATCTAGATCCAGAAGCAAGGTTTTCTCAGCGGGTATTTCCACTGTTCCTTAACATTCTTAGGTTCATAGGGTTAGCTAGAAGGTGTCTTAGAAGTCATCTAGTATAACTCCATACTTTTACAGATGATGTAATTGATGTCTGGAGAGGGGAAGTAACTGTTGAAGGTCAGTCTGTAAGCATTTATTAAGTGTTTACTATGTGATAGGAACTATGCTAGTTGCAGGGATACAAAGAAAGGTGAAAAGAGTCTCTGCTGTCAGAGAGCTCACAATCTAATAAGGAAGACAGCATGCAAATAACAATGTACAAACAAGCTATATACAGGGTAAATTGGAAATCATCAGCTGAGAGAACTATTAGAATTAAGGGAAATTAGGAAAGGCTTCCTGTAGAAGGTGGGACCAGGGTTATATAGTAAGTAGCAAACCTTGGATTTAAGTCCAAGTTCATTATATGTGTACCTATTAACAAATTTCAATCCAGTAACAATAATAATGAATCGTTGAAATAAACTTCTCAAAGTGGATTTTTCAGGTTTCTGTTTTGCATGATGTGAGTTGTGTGTGGTTTAGTGGAAAGACACTGGGCTTGGATTTATGATATATGGCTTTGAAACTAGCCTTTGACACTAAATGGTAAATCACTTAATCTCTCTGACATATTAATTACCATATGGGAAAATCACTTAATCCTCCCTTGGCCTCAGTTTGCTCATCTGTAAAATGAGGGGTTATACTAGATGGTTTTTGAAATCTCTTCCAGCTCTGGATCTCTGATCCTATGAATAGTTTCCCCAAATGCCTGTTTATAGGGTTACAGTGAGATAATGTGTGAAAAGTGTTTTATGAATCTTAAAGTTCTATATTAATTCTATTTACTTTAGGATACCCAGACCTTGGGAATCTTGGATTATATAATTTAAAGATAATTTTAAAATCATTAAAATAATTTTAAAAAATAATACAAAGGTTCAGGTTGGGCATGTCACCTCATCTCTCAGCCTCAGTTTCTCATCTGTAAAATGGGGATAATAATCACATCTACGTTCTAGAGGGCTGGCTACAATGAATGCCTCTGCTTCCTTCTCACTCTTTTCTTAATTTTCTACAATCTGGATTTGGGCTTAATAATTCAACTAAAACTGTTATCTAAAAGTTACCAATTATCTCTTACTTGCTAAATCCAGTGGTTTTTTTCTCGTTCCTCATACTTCTTGAACTCTTTGAAGCCTTTGCACAGTAAATAACTCTTCTCTTTGGTACTCTCTTCCCTCTAGGTTTACTGGACACTACTGTCTCCTGGTTCTTCTCCAGTCTGTCTGACTGTTCTTTTTCAGTCTTTGCTGGGTTTTCATCCAGATCACATCCACTAACCTTGGGTTTCCCAGAGGGCTCAGTCCTGGGCCATCTTCTCTTCTTTTATGCTTTTTCACTTGGTGATTTTTATCTTCCCTGCTGACCTTTTATCTGCAAATCTTATATTTAATGTCATATCTCTAATTGCCTATTAGGAAACTCAAACTGGATCCTCAACTTGTCTAAAACCGAACTCATCATTCCCCTCTCCCTTCTCCCCCAGATCAGTAAACTCGAGTGACTCTATTGCCTTTCAGGGAGTCTTCCATTCTTCTCGAACCTCACTTAACCTTACATGCTCTGAGATCTTGTGACATTGGCCTCCTTGCCATTCCTCAAACGGGACATTCTCACCTCTGGGCATTTTCACTAGCCTTCTCATCTCCAGAGCTCTTGGCTTCCTTCTTTAGCTGAAATCCTACCTTCTGTGAGAAGAAGCCTTTCCCAGTTCCTCTTAATGTTACTGCCTTCACTCTGTTGATTATCTCCAGTTTATCCTGTGTGTATCTTGGTTTTAGATAGTTGTTTCATGTTTTCCCCTATAGACTGTGAGCTTGTTGCAGTTAGGGACTGTTTTAGCCTTTGTATTCCTAGTGTTTAGCACAGAGCTTTGCTCATAGTAGGCACTTTAATAAGCATAAGACTGTCTAAGTGAAACTCAAGTAGATTATGTTTATAAGCATAAGACTTGGCTATATAGCTTGTTTGCATATAGCTTTTTTTTTTGCATTTTGTTTCCCCTGTTGTGAACTGCTTGAGGGTATCTGCCTTTCTTTTTCTTTTCTTTCTTTCTTTCTTTCTTTCTTTTTTTTTTTGTGAGGCAATTGGAGTTAAGTGATTTGCTTAGAGTTACACAGCTAGTGAGTGTTATGTGTCTGAGGTCGTATTTGAACTCGAGTCTTCCTGACTCCAGGGCCAGTACTCTATTCACTGGTATCTGCCCTTTTTTGTATCCCAAGCCCTTAGCACAGTTCCTGGCACATTATAGATACTTACTAAATGCTTATTGACTATCAGATTGGCAAAGATGACAGAAATGGAAAATGACAGTTGTGAGAGGGACTGGAGGAAGTCAGGCACATAATGCACAGTTGGAATTGTGAATTTTGGTCCAGCCTTATTAGGAAACAGGTTGGAACTCTGCCTCCAATTGTACATATACCCTTTGACCCAGCTTGACTACTACCAGGCCTATACTCCAAAAAGAAGAAAAAGACATATCTTTTTACAGATATTTATGACAGATCTTTTTGTTATAGAAAAGACTCAGAAAAAATTGAGGAATAGGTTTATGGATATAATTAATAGTATTATACTATAAGAGATAATGAAAGGGTGGCTTCAGGGAATCTGGGAAGACTTGTACACATTGATGCAAAGTCAAATGAGCAGATCAGTTTATACAGTAAGAACATATTGTAAAGAATATAACTTTGAAACCAAAAAAATCTGATCAGTGCAATTACCAGACAGAATTCCAGAGGAGTCATCATAGGAAGACTAACACGATGAATCATACATACTCCTTATATCCTAATGGAAGGGTGATGGATGCAAGTTGCAGATTTGCAATTTAACGTTTTTGGACATGGCAAATGGTTGGCTCTGGGGTTTTTGTTTTTGTATGGAAGTTCAGAGTCAAACACAAGTGCATCAGCTTTGAAAGTATTGAAAGAGACGTATTGAATATATTATATATTCAAAAATATATTTAATAGAAATTCATGGTTTCTTTTCTGTTTTCTACTTTGTAAGTTGATATATCCCTTTTTTGTTGTTTGTTAAATTCAGAACAAAAAAATTTTAATGGTACAAAGAAGACATTTTCAGACAGAAGTTCACTATCACATGTAATTGTTTTGGGGCTCCACAAACTTCGGGCCCATATAAGACAGGCAAACTTAATCCATAAATATTCCCCAGTCTTTCTCCCTCTCCTTGGGCCTGAGACACAACCTTGTTAAAATTAGAGTCATTTAATAAGCATACAGTGATCTCTAAGTGTTAAAGTGGAAAGAGTCAATCTATGAGGGCAAACTTCATTGTTTTCTTGTTTTAAGAAATCGCCACAGCCACCTTAACTTCCAGCAAACACCACCCTGATCAGTTAACAGCCATCAACATCTAGGCAAGACCCTCCACTAGCAAAAAAGATTATAAATCACTGAAGGCTCAGATGATGGTTAGCAATAAAGCATTTTTAAATTAAGTTATTTTGTACTTTTAGACATAATACTATTGAATGCTTAATAGAATATAGTATAGTGTAAATATAACTTTTCTGTGTACTGGGAAATAAAAAAAAATTTGTGTGACTTATTTTATTGCAATATTTGTTTTATTGCATTACAGTGGTATGGAATTGAACCTGCAGTATCCTAGAGGT